ATCTTTGCTTCTTGCTGCTCCGAACAGTTAACTGGCCTAGTGTGTGTTTCCCCAGGACCTATGCCCTGCACTTGACCTCACCCCACTCACTTCTTTTTATTAGCTTGTTGTAAAGGCCTGCTCTCCTTCCAGCTCCTTCGCTAAGGCCTGCTCCCCGCTCAGTCCCACCTCATGAAGTGCTCCGTGGTCACCCAGCCTCAGACCTCCCAGTGCACCTGGAACCTGTGCCATAAGCAGTCTGACGCGGGAGAGCAGCAGCCACCCGATGTGAGTGCTTGCCAAGAGCTTCACACGCAGGACGGAGATACCAGACGGGAACCTGATCGGGAGGTGGTAAATTGAGATGCCGAGGACTGGTGGAGACGGTGGAGCTGGGGTTTGACCCGTAGGGCCCCGGCTCCTGCGTCGGGTGCTTAAATACATCCCACAAAGCTGCCACGCCCGTGTCCCTAGCACACCCTCTACTGGTTCTACATGTGCTGTTCCGTCCCTAAGTGGGACGGACACTGCGGACGTGTATATCTGATACACGGACATCTGAACCATGGAATACTCATCAACGGAGAGGGAAGATCTCCTCTTACATGCAGCCACCTGAATGTGCCTCACAGACATAATGGTGGGAAAGGTGCCAGACCTGACAGAGGATACGATGAGGTTCGTCATGTGAAGTTCAGCTGCAGGCACAAGTCTGTGGCGACAGCTGTAGGCATGGCGGCGACCTCAGAGGAGGTTACTGCTGGAAGGGGGATGAGGACATCTTTGCCGGTGCAGGCACTGTTCTATATCATCATCTGGGGGTAAAAGCCCACGAGTTGGACACCTCAGATTCACTCATTTTGTTGTAATATATGATGGCTTAATAAAAAATAAGTGTCCAAGAAAGCAAGTCATTCTTCCACATAAGCCAGGTCTACCTGAGCTTACATTTAACTCAACATCAGTCAGCACCGAGTTCTGGAAGCTTGGAAAGAGAAAAACTATAGAGTCTGCCAAGAGTCCTCCCACTGCTTCCTGTCTGTCTGCGTAAGCTTTGACGAAACTGAGGCTGGAGTGGCTGTGAGTCTGAAAGCCAGGCTTGGGGACAGCCCCCCACCCTGGTGCTCACAGGAGACAGCGTGGTCTGGGCACGCGAGGCCTCATTGCCTGGGCTGGGGGCTGGGGTGGGAGGCACAGGAAGTGTGGAGGTGACCAGCTGGGAGGTCAGGACTTGGGAAGTGGGGATACTGAGGGCACCTGACTGACCTCTTTGGGCTTCACTGCACTTCCATGCTCACCGTAACCACTTCTAGCTCAGCAGACCTCAAACCAGCCAAGCTCAGCCCCTTTCTCTGAAACTACGGTCACCTTCCCGACTGTTCATGTCTTCTGGCAGCTCCATTCCCGTGATTACTTTCATGTGACTCCCTGGGAACTACCGGTGCCCCCTCTCTCCCTTCCCAAGTGGTGCCAGGGCCTCTCCACTGTGTCCACAGTCCGTTCCTGCGTCTCTTTGCTCCCAGTCAGTCAGTCTTGCCTGGGACAAAATAACAAGCATGTTTTTGACTCACTGCTCACTTTGTGCTGGCCACCTAAATACTTTGCATGTATTGTTCCACTTTGCAAAAATTAAAGCATAAAGCAAGTAAAACATATTTCCATTTCACAGATAAGCAAACTGAGGTGTGGGAATGTTAACTAACTTGTTGGCGGCCCCAGAGCCGCTAGGTGATGGAGCTGCATTCCACATCTGGCTCTGTCTGATGTCAGAGAAGCTCCTGCATGTTTCTCCTCCTGTTTGCCAATGGCCCTGGGCAGTCTTAGGCTTCTTGATATCAATCTGCCAGCAAGTCCCACTCATAGACAAGCCACTCAAATTATTAAGGTTGGCATCACTTTGACACCCTGACTAGACAGAACTTGGCAAAGAGTTTATGACTAGAGAAGATGCACCTGCTGTAACTGAGGGAGATGAGCAGGTAGCCCTGGTGAGCAATGCTGATTTCCTGTTGCTGTTGGCAGGGGACCAGCCTCACAGGCTTCTGTGCACAGTCCAGTGGGGAGAAAAGGGGCACAGGGCCAAATCCCAATTCTGCTTGTGCCCTGGGAGATGCCACCTCAAAAGGGGGGTAGAAGACTTCCCAGTGTGCCCTTAGATGGGGAACTCAACACTAGGTTGAAAAAGGACTGCCACTCACAGACCTAAAGTACCTGTGTTTGGCATGTGCTTCTGCACACTGGCCACATTTCCATAATCAAGGTGCAGAGGCCTGTGGGCATCACGAGACCCGGCCTGCAAATACCCTCAGGCACACGGGCTAGCTGTCTGGACGGCTGATGATCTCCAGCAGAGACTTCAGCACGCAGAATGCACGCCATCTGCAGAGCACACCAGCTCCTCCCGGCCTCGTGAAGAGGCTGGGGCAGGGTGGACCTCCGGAGGAGTTTCATTAGCAGCTGGGTTGTCTCCTTGAGCTGGAAAATGAAGGTCCTTCCAACTCCCTCACACATGTGCACTTGAACATGCCCTTTCAAAGCTTTACCATAAAATAACAGGAAAGGGACTTACGAATCATCTGTTTTTCCTCCCTCCTCCCAACTGCTATCTTGGCAAGAGGTGGTCAGTACGGCGTAAGCAGCAGACAGGGCCAGCAGTACCCGTGCTAAGATCCTCCTCTGCCCTCCGCTAGCCGTGGGACTCTGTGCAAGTGTCCTAGCTCTCTGAGGCTGCTGTTCCCCTCCCCACGCCTCACATGTGCCCACACAGGCCTGGCACCCGGGGGGTGTCCTGTGAATGCCCCTGCTCCCTCCTGCCCTTTGTGGCAGGGCAGTGTTTCTTTTAGTCTCCTTGCAAATCCTGGGGCCCGGCCGCTTGTCCCATAGTTCAGCTCTGGTTCATTAGATTCTCCTTACTTATCACTTTCCATTATTTGGCACAGATCTGAAGACACTTGTGAAAGGGAAGAGAAGAAAACAGTATAAGAGGGAAGGGTGGGAAATTTCCTCTATTTGGAAATTAAGTGAAGGAAATGTGGGACAGAGGGTACGGAGCTGACCCTCTGGAAGGTGTGAGGACAGCATCTGGGAAGGCGGAGGTGAGGGGGCCACCATAAAGGCCGCAGGGACAGCGAACTGGGGAGGAAGGCGGGACTCGGTGGCCAGGGCTGAGGGTGGCCCTGGCCCTGCTCCGCAGCAGTGACACGCTGCAAGGGGAACTCCGTGCGGGGATCCTCACATGCACCCCCAGGGCCACAGCCAGAGGAACCTCACTCCATGAGCTGAATGTCCAGGCCCTGTCAACAGCACCCCCACCCCTTCTTGCTCACAGATGGTTCAAGGCTGTTAACCACACTTCTATAGGGTCTCTGGTCCAGAGGGGAGAAACAGCTTCTGAACCACCCCCCTCCATCACCAGGACTCTTCACAAACGGAAGATGCTCACCCAACTGACCAACTGCCCAGGCTGCCTCCAATCACACCCCTTCCTAAACCAAACATTTGTGTCTCTCGACCTGCACCCACCCCTCCCCTTGCATCCGTGAGCTGGGACCTGACAGCTTTGCCTTGGGGTGAACTCTGTGAGGCCAGGGCTCAGCCCGGTGACACACCAGCACCTCTCAGCTCACCCTGCTTCAGAACCACATCCACATCTCTCTCTGGACTCCCTGTGCATCTGACCAGAGAGACGGGATGCCATCTGGCCTGCACCGGTGTGTGTGCGTGTGACACGGGCCGGGCATGCATGCTGTGTGCGCATTTGGCTCCAGGACAAGAATTACTACGTGTTGGAAGTTTGTTGGAAGTTCAAATAGCTGAGCTTTTGAATGTGTTTTAAAATTCTGACAGCATCTGTAGGAGCCAGGGGCTTAGTTTAACCTTTTCCTCACCACTGGAGACCACTGAGAATGATAAAAGGGGAAGAACTGGCATGAACTGGAAGAATGAGAAAGAAAATAGCATGGGATTCCAGAACTGGCCCTTCAGAGACACAGCAGGGAGCACTTCCCCGCGGCATGTCCGGGCCCTGCTCAGGGCGACCAGGCTGCATCACTGAAGGCTCTACCCCCTTCCTTTGCGCTCGTCTTCACGAGGAGCCTACGTTCAACTGCCAACAGGACACTTAACTCCGACATCTACCTGCTGACCATGAGGCGAAGGCCTGGGAAGACTGAAAGCAAACCAGTAGGCCCCGCTGGCGTGTGATGCTCTGCAGGCACTGAAAGGCTGTGTCACTGGAGTGGCTGCTGGGGTGGGACGTACTTTATCTAGAGGCTTCCTATACACCTTCAAAGAGGATGGAAGGAGGGAGATGAAGACAGGAGTGACTATGTCGTCTTCCATCCTCCCTCCAGACTCCCTTCTAGCTTCTCCCTCTTGCTCGGGGCCCATCCACACTCAGCGATGGGCTCCTCTGGCCTCTAGCTGGGTTGGGTAAGAGGTCTGGAGGAGGACCAAAGTGCGAGCTCAGAACAAGTCCTCCAGACCCAGCCCTGCTGTCTCTCCCAAAGGTGGCCTCGGACAGCTGCTCGCCGTTAGTTCTAGTGCCCGCTCCCACCCTGGCCCTTCATGTCTGGGTCCACTGCTCTGGGGTACTGCATCATGCCCTGTGGGTTTTCCTGAGCCCTGCCCATACCTTTCCAAGTAACTCCTTTGTTAAATTCTCCAGTGAGCGTGCCTTCTGTTTTTTGCTAAGACTTTGATGGATTGATGAGTTACTGCTTGACTGATTTCTTGGTCTTCCTCAGCCCTCTTTCTCCAACGGCAAAGTGTCCAAGAACCGGGCACTGTGAGGAGGGCACCATGAGCCAGGGGACCACACCCGTGGACACTCATCCACCAGAAAGCAACAGCTGATCCTTCCCTAAGAGGTCCATCCTACTACCTGTCTCCCATCTGCACAGCTGTCAGGTTCTTGCCAGATCAAGAAGAAAAAACCCAGCTGAAGAATGGGAAGGGGAGGGTGGGGAGGAAGGTGTGCAGTGCGTGCCTGCGCCGCAGGGTGCAGTGGTTCGAGCGCCCACCTTGTCTTGCTGTGTACTCGTTGTCTTCGATCAGTCGGGCCAATCCAAAGTCAGCGATCTTGCATATGAGTCCATTCCCCACTAGAATGTTTGCCGATCGCAGATCTCTGTGAATGTAATTCATGCGCTCGATGTAAGCCATTCCTGCAGCGACCTGTGGAGACAAGGGGACAGGACGCGGCTGTGGCACCACACAGCACTCCGTGTACCGGGACCTGCAGCAGGAGCCGGTGTACCACAGGGCCTACCTGGGCTGCCATGTCCACAAGATTCGGTAGTTTCAGGGCTCTTCCTTCTCCATCTTTCAAGAAATCAAGTAAACTTCCTATGAACCAAACATAAAACATTCCAATTTACTTTGAAAGATGAAAATTCCCAACAAAGGGCTGTATTTCATTTTCTTATTGGAAGTGATGAGGTAATTGAATGGGATAATGCCATCAATTAAAAAAAAAGAGATTTATATTAAAAAAAGGGTAGAAGAAAGTATGCATTGGAGGCAGCAGTTGTACCTTTTAAAAATAAGCAATGGTGACTCCTTTTCTAAGGACAGCAAAAATTTGATGAAACTAGAGGAAACGGGACTCGGTCCCCTTATGTCACGAAGAACCTGTGAAGAACTGTGCCATGTCCGTCTCATTCCCTCGTTGGCCCTCCACACAGGACTGATGTGGGGAAAACACTGCCCAGAGGAGTGTTCCCAAAATGTGGTCTGGGACCAGCAGAAACAGCAATCCCCCCTCCCCCCAACCTTAATGCCAACTCCAGGGCCCCACCCCAGGCCTACGGAATCAGCCTCTGGAGGCTGGGCCCAGAAACCGGTATTCGGAGATCTGTCAGGTGATTCTGATATGCAGAGAAGTGTGAGAATGTCCCCAGTTTATCTGAAGAGCAGCACGGGGCAGGGCAGCTCCCCTGTGAGACCCGGAACAGCACTGCTGGAGCCCCAGGGCCACTGTGACAACAGCCCTAGGCGACCAGAACTAACTCCAGGGCCGAAACATTCACGTGCAGAGGCTGGAGGCTTCACAATGGTCGCTGGGATTTTTTTGTGCTTTAATCAACAGTTATTTAGCAAATAACCCTGGATACAAAGGACAAACAAGCTGCCAGGAAACATTCCAAATGCTTTTAAAAGGAAGAATGTGGAAAGGAAACTGCACTGGTGTCCTGGTAAAAGGCACTGCCTTGCAAGGCTGTTTCTTGCTTGGTTCATCTATTTTTCCAAAACAAAGTAATCTTTGGCTTATTCCCGACAATACTGCTTTGATTAGAAAGAGAGGAACAGAGACAGACAGAGAGAATGAGAATAAAATGTGCTTTTCAAAAGAATGTCTTTCTTCATCTCATGTTTAAAAAACATCAGCTGGAAAAAAATGATGTTGAAATTATGGGGACTAACCTTGCCCCAGAGAACAGTGTCTGATCTCAACTGCTCAGCCTGGCAAAAAGGAAACTTCACACAAGCCACAACATGCAAAGCAACAGCAGACTTCCACAGCTCTCTGTATCACCCCTGCTATTAAAAATGAGTGTTTTAATTACAGAGAGGAGTTGGCACTCCTGACGTGGGCAGCGTGCATAGGTGCTGCACTTCACAAGGGTCAGGGGGAAACTCAAGGTCACAGTCTGCCTCAAAACTGTTTTTTCCTATTGAGCACAGTCTGTGCTCCGAACGGGAACGCTGGTCTCACGCAGAAACTAGGTGCAAGGCAGCCCCACTCCCCGCCCCCTGCGGCTGCGGGTCACTGCCAGGTGGAGCCCCGAGGCCGCCGACCTTTATTCATGTACTCCGTGACGATGTAGATGGGCTCCTCGGACACCACCGCGTACAGCTGGACCAGCTTGTCGTGCTTCAGCTTCTTCATGATCTGCGCCTCCTCGAGGAATGATTCAGGAGACATCGTGCCGGGCTTAAGAGTCTTTATGGCTACTTTTGTGTTTCCATTCCAGGTGCCTGTGACATCCCACGATATTACATCAAATTAAAGATTCTCTTACAATGGGAAAAAATTTTTTTTTCGATCAACAGTTATTTCCATAAAATTAGATTTTAAGTCGAAAATTTTTTCTCATTGAACAAAGATTATCAAATGTAAGGACTCTGTCAAGTATTTTCAACAGGAAAAATGTGTTGACGTAGGGCCAAATTATGGTTTACAATTCTTTTAACTTTTCCTTATTTTGATATATACCACTTTCCTTTTCCAGCTCAGCCAGTGATCACAAATTTGTACCAAGCTCTGCACGGGTATTTATAAGGATGAAAGTCCGGGAGTTAGAGCAGTTCTGGCCACCCGACAGCCCTCCCGTAGTCCGCAGAGTGAGCATGGAAGGAATCAGGTTAAGTTCCATTTTATAGGGTGTGCCCACTTAAAAACACATGGCAGCACCCGACGATGTCTGGAAATTACTTCTAGACTTTCAGTTGTCTGCAATGGGTGAGCTACTTGACTGAGCCTCAGACAGCTGACAGATGAGCAGGACTGTAAGGGTGCTGGCAAGCTTGGCAGGGCACTCAGTCTGCCCACCCATATGTCACTCGGGTGTACTGGCGGCCAGACACAGGCAACACGGTGTCTCCCATCAGCTACCCTGGACAAGTTACACGGGAGTTAAGAGGAAACGAAGTATTTAAGCTCAACATGTTAAAAAATTTCCAAAGGTCTAGAGGCAGGCCTGGTCAATGACCATCAGTTACCTCATCTGTAAAATACAGGAATGGAACTCATTCTTTCAAGTCTATTTCAGTCCCCAATTTAAAAAAAATCTAGGTTCTGTGTGCATTCCATTAGTCTTACGACTATTAATTAAAACTATAAGGGGAACATAAAAATTTGCTAAGATTACGTTATTTTCTATTTGGAAAAGAAGGCTGATTTAAATTAAGATTTTTGTATTTAATATAACTGATTTTAGAAATAAAAAATTCTGTAAATTGGAGTAACTTTTGCTACCTTGTTAAAAACATTGTTTATGTAATTTCAACAAGCAACCTACAAATAAAATTATGAAAGAGTAAGTGGCTTAAATAAGAGTTTATCCAAATCTTCTAAAATATCTGACCACTCAATGTAAATGGGAAATATGACAATTTGCAAGCGGTCTTTGCCACTGGAAGCATGCAAAATCTTAAATAGGGACCTCCCTAACAGCACCCTTACACTGGCCTTCCACCTTGATCCTCAAGATGTCTTGTGTACAGTGGGAAGCAAATTCTTAATATGTGTAATAATTTAAAATTTATAATTACAAAGTTTAAAAATAAATTTTTACATAGGGTCTAATTCTTCCTGATTGTGCGAGTGACTGGACTAAAATACTTAGGACCCACAACTTCAATTATAAATTGGGCAGATGAGGGAGAGGCCATATAAACATATTTTACAATACTCGAGTTAAAATCCAGAGAGAGGGACACAATAATGTGGACTCTGGGAAACAGTAACAGCAATACTTAGAGTAGCTTATACACACACACACACACACGTCTAAGTCTAGCCTACACACACACGTGTATGTGCAGCTCACATGCACACACACGTGTAAATCTAGCTTACACACATGTGTATGTCTGAGCATATCTCTCTGTGGTACTTAACTCATTACCAGGCTCTGTTCTAAGTGCTTAATGGTAGCAGGCCTTGTAATGCAGAGTACACATGAATACCTACAGCCACATGCAATCACAGGTACCTACCTGTACCACTTTTAGTCGAATCTAAGAAAGGGAGAAGGAGGGTTCCATAAGCACCAACACTTTCTTACTGACAGATGCTTTGTGTGGGACCTAAGTCCTAAGGCAGTGAGAAGGGCCCAGTGCAGTCAGCCTCATCAGTGACACGACTGCCCGATTAGGAGGAGTATGTCTGTCTACTGAGCACTGACTACGTGCCAGGGATTCTCACATACTGTCTCATGTAATCCTCAAAATGAGCTTATGAAGTAGGTATCATTTCAGTTCTACAGATGAGGAAACTGAGGCTCAAAAAGGTTAAATAAGCCCCTCCTCACCCATGGTTAGTCAGCTAGTAAAGATTCAAACCCAGGCCCACAGAGCAAAGAGGCCGTGGTGTCTCCCTACAGTGCCATCTGTAGCATCTCACCTTTCTGTGTGTCAGGAAGAGGGAACACCAGATCCCTACAGCATCGGTTTCCTGTTCCACGTGTGCCTTACTTAACCACATGCAGTAGGACAGAGAGTACAGCCAGTTACTGCCTTACTCTGAGAATCTGGCTGGCCTGTGTCTGTCTAGCTACCCAGGTTAAGTGTCTTGGTCCCAATGGTTGTGCATTTGTTTTTATTTAAAACCATACTTTTAGTTGGCTTTGAGATGCAGCCCTCTGCCTTACCAAGCCACACTTCAGCGAAACACCCCTGACCCAGCTTCTTCTCCAGAAACAATGAATCACGTGCAACTTCCCAGGCATCTTTAGCCAGTCCAGAAGTTTGTGGGGTACAACTCGATGCAATCACAGTTAAGTTAAAACATAAACCATCAGCTTTCTCTACAGGAGAGGAAATTAATAAAGAAAACAGTCCTTATAATCCATAATCATGCATGCACTAGGAAAGATGGAAGGTGATGTACCCTAGGGCGATACTGAGTTCACCAAACGAACATCTGTGGTTGGAAACGAAGGGCAAGGCATTTAGGGAAGGCTGGAACACTCCTTGTACTATTTACTCGTTTGTGGATTGAGACTCATAAGGGAATAATTTGAGCCATTTGCCAATTATGGACTCTTAGTATCTCTTTTCTAGAAATTCCCAAAGTCAAAAATCAAAAATCAAAATTACAATTCCCCCACTACTGGTAATTTAAGCCTCTCTCCTGTTCATAAACTCTTTATATTCACCTTCCATCTTTGATGTTTGGGACTTGCCAAACGAGAAAGCTAGTAATAGAGTAACTGAGTCTTGGCATACCCATCCACACTTCCCCAAACTGCCCATTTCCCAGTCTCTTGATCAACTGCAGGGACTCTCGAGGGATTTCCCAGACATCTTTGGTTTTGACAGACAGATCGGTAAGCCTTGGCATCCCTTTGTGACAGGGAACGACTAGGCGGCAGCAGAGACCTGCAGCTCTCTCTGATGGAGTGGGACAGTGGCAGAGGGAGAGAAAAGCAGAAGAATGAAACAACACTTCACAGGGGCACAAACCAGCGAGTGCACAGCGTTACTCAAAACAGTGCTACCTGGCAGAAAATGCACACATCTTGGAACATGAGACACCACATGCTGAAATAAGGTCATTCGAGGTAGAATAGAGGACGTTTTAAATCTGGACTACTCAGAGTCCGAGGTATAATACAGTTTCTACATATGTACAGATGTAGATGATGTTGGTTTCTAAACTCACTCAGTAAGAAAAATGTTTTCAGCCCAATGTGCTAATAACATGCCTTCTGGAACCCTGAAAAGGCCTCCACTGACCTAAAGGTGCAGATGGACTATGTCAGCATTGAGTCTTCTCCCCTCTACTAACAAGGGCTTAGGGACTCTTTTTGGTAGGAATGTATTTAAAATTGTAACTTTAGTACAGGATTCTTCTACCGAACATCACACTGTCATAAACTAGGGCTGAAGATTATGCCTGGCAGGGAAAAGAGGTTACATTTCTGTAGTGATTTCTTTGGCATTTTAACTGAGTATTCTACTAGTTTGATACTCTTTCTACTTTGATATGTCCACTAAAAAATAGTCTCTGATGTGTAATCTAGGGGTCTGGTTTGAAAGCAGAAAGAATGGAAACTAAAATCTGCAGAAACTCAGGATGTGAAAGAACTCTAATCCCTATGAAAAACAATGGAAAAAACAGTTACCACTTTAGGTTATTTGGAGGTTGTTTTTCCTTTTTCTTTTCTTCTTTCTCTCTCTTTTGTAAAGAATATGCCTTTGAACATCTAGCAGTGGTAAAGGGAAAATGGTGAAATGCCAAGGTAAACATCAGGCAGGTGAGAAGAGGCAGCGGAGAACAAGGAATCAGGGCCATGACAAACTGCCGAGAGCCTGCTGACCACAGCCCCCGGGGCACCCGCGTCCAGGGTGCCGAAGCCCCTGCTGTTGCCTTTTCTCCAGGAACCACTGTAAACTGTTTCCAGTCCTTTCTTTTTGGTAGAATCAGGTTCTGAGATGTTTAGGCAGAAAATTTTTTATGTGTCAATATTTCAAAGGCATTTTACTGTGTGAGAGAGAAAGTGGGAAGAGGAAAAGCCAATATAAAAACAAATCTAACTTGAGATGGATTTTTTTTGAGATTAGACGATGCCTGTTGCTCTTCATCTCCCTTCCTTCCCTCCACCTTTACAGTGTCATCAAAGTGCCCTTTCCAACAGTGTTCGCAAATGACCAAAACTCTGGGGCCTTGCTGGTGTCTGGCCGTGACGAAATGTGTTTCAGCATTTGAAAAATCCATACAGACATTTTAAGTATATCATTCAACTCAGGAGATAGTCTGCCAAATATTTCACTAGAATCCACCTAAATGAAGCCTACCCAATGCCCTAATCAAATAGTCTGCCAAGCTGTCACTAATTCTTACTCATTGGTGCCCAGGATCAAATAGACAGGCATTTCTTATTGCCATTTTCAAAAGATTCCTTTTTTTAGAGCTAAAAATATGTACTTTTTAAAATGAATGTGCACAGAGCAACAGTTCAGATAAAATCATGTACTATTTTGGGGTTTTGTCATGGTCCTGAAGAACAATACAAAATATATGTACGCGTACACATAGGCCACACAAAAGTACGAGGTGTAATAATGGGATACAGATCCATATGTGTACATGTATATCTGTATCTACAGCCACCTGTGTGTACCTATCATATAGTAGGAGAAAGCAATCATTTTAGCACTTGTACATTAGACCAATTCTTTAATAAAATGTACAGATCACACACCTGAATACCTACCAAGTATACATTTCTAAGAACAACAAACTAATGGTGACACCTGGGTGTGTGGGCAGAGATGGACCAATTGTGTACAAGTTTAATTTAACATGACAGCGGTAACAGAGCCAAGAGCTATTGGTCATATCAGTTTAAGTCCAGTTCGGGAACGGAAGCATTGGTGGGGAAGTAGGACACGGCAAGGGGGCTGCGAAATCCATCGCGTCATGAATGAAATGCATGTGCAGGCTTCCCTGCAACAGTGCTGAGTGTGGAGTGGTGGTGACAGCAAGCCTGTCGGGTCCCCGCGAAAGTCCCAGCCCACAGACTGCCCCCTTCATGGTCCAGAACAATCTGCTGGAGTATACATGAGGGGACAAGATGGTAACTTGAGGATTTAACCTACTGCTTCCACTTGGGGAATAACATGTTGGCATACATAGGAAACTAATGATAACTGGTAGGAAAATACCAAAGGAACCTATTCGATCACACCCCACCGAAGGGCTAGTGGGAAAACTGTTTTGCTTTGTTTACACTGGTACTTTTCCCCTGCCCTCCCCCTTTCCTGCTCTGTGTCCACCCCTCCCTCCAGGGTCAGTAGCTAGTTGGGATCAAGGTTACCTGAGTAGTGCTGTACAAGCTGCTGGAGTGTCTCAAACTGGGCCCGGGTGGTGATGTAGTACCCACCATTGTCAAGTTTACGAATTTTATAATGTTTGACGTGGTCACCTTTCATATCATCCCAGTCACGGATAGAAAGTGAATAGGCACCTGGCAAACACATGAATCATTAGCAGCGCCAATCGTTTTGAGTACTCGTTTGTTTTTTAGGCCCCATTTACTGGACTATCTGATTAATAATTATCAAGAGGAGGGAGAGACACACACACTTCCACTCAGTAACATAAGGAGAAAACATCTCTTTCCTGCAACTGTCAGAAGGCAGGGAAAAGGGACATTGCCCTTGAGAATGAAAGCCTCCTGGGTTCTCCCTGCACTGCTGCTCAGTACCCCGTGCCGTTTTCTGTGGGGCAGAAGCCGCCCCCCACCTCCCCCCGCTGAGAAGCAGCTCAGCCTGAGGTTGCTGCCGGCCCCATTCCCCACGGCACGTCACCGAGGCTGGGGCAGTGCGCACCACAGAAAGCAAGGGCGAGTCCTCCGAAGTGAACTCCTATTTCTGCTTCCCAGTGCTTCCCAGAGGCGCAGAGGACCAGGGCCCGGCAGGCCCTGCAACCAGGAGGCCTCGGCTCCTTTCCCTTGGCCCAGCTCCTCCCACGGCTCTAAAGGGCCAAGCACTGCAGAAAGAGCAGTCCTCAGTCACAAAGAACAACAAAAAAGAAGCAAAATGACCCGTGAGATTGGCACCCGAGGAACTAAGTGTTTCAAAAAAACATTGATTTGAAGGGTTCCTGAACATCCTATGGTCCTGTGTGCAGCAGAGGACAGCCATTAAGGAGCCTTACAGGCAGAGAGCAGCCTTGCCTTCCCCGGACTGATCCGCAGACTTGAACGACTAGCCAGCTTCCTCAATGCGTTCTCACCTTTGGTGGTCTCGCTCTCACGGATAAGAAAGGTGCCTCTCGGGTTTCCAAAGGACAAAAGCTGTCGCTCAGCATCTTTCCGGCCAAGTTTTCCAAAGTACCACCTTTAGATGAGGTCAAGGAAAGGAAACATTTTATAATGACCACTTACAAGGCTCTCTGGCCCATGAATCCTCCTCACCTCTGATTTTACTCTTAAACCTTCCCTGGGGATGTTTCCCTAGCCTCGTCTTGTCCCTTTCAGTCTATTCCTGATTCCGTTCTTAATCCATCTCTCCCACTCTTTAAAAAAATCAGGTTTGGATTAAGGGTTATTGTCCTTCCCTCCAGAGATAACAAGACTGGTTTGTGTTAAAACTGCCTCCTGCGTGCACAAAAAGAGAAGTCCAGGACCTTGTTGTGAGAAGGCAGCAGAAGGAGACCCTTCCCACGCACATCGACAAGGCCCTGGATTTCTGGGCATAATTCAACCCCTGGGCAACAACAGAACCAGTCTTGTAGTACAATGACAACCCATAAAGCATTTCTTAAAAAGCCAGTCAGAACAGATAAAAACAGACACAATATTTTCAGTGACTTCCTGCCTACAGGGACTCTGGACAACAGTGTCATGACCACCCCTACTTTGAGAAGACTGCTGCCCTTGGATGCCTGCTTTCCGTTTCTTCCCATCCAGCAGGCGTGAGGACCAGAGAAGCAAAAGGCGCCCGCAGAGCCTCTGGGCTGCTGCCTGCCATGTGCGCCCAGCACAGTGGCAGAGCCAGGTCTCTGCAGGGTCAACGAGCACGTTCTGAAATGCGACTTGGCCGTGGGCACTCTCACAGCCTCCCTGTGCCGCCGTGAGAGGCACCGCAGCAAGCCGCCTCATGCGTGACCTCTGTGACCTGTTTTTTTTATCTTTCCCCTGCCCTCTGCAGCCCTGACCGTGCCTCGCAGTGCGGGAGCATTTCAGCACTGGGCTGAGTGAGCAGCAGGCGTGCCAAGAACCCGAGGGAGAGGCCATGAGCACCTGCTTGAATCTGCACACGGAAACAATTTTTAGAATATTTCACTGTGAGCGGATCCAGCTTCTAAAATAAAACTTCAGTTCATTATACTTGAACAGCTATGTGTGTTCACTGCCAAATCCATCTGAGTGAAGAGCTGCACTGAAGGAAAGGAAAGGCACACAGTGTGGGGCTCCCGGCGGTCCTCAGAGGCCCAGCCTGGGCAGCCATCTGGGCCAAGAGCTACTGCCCACCGTTTACACATGGCTTTCTGGGTTTATATCAGTGACCCGATTAAAATGCAGCATAAACTGCAAGAGGGATGGAAAGAGCGATGTTACAACGGACTATACTAAAATGATAGCATTTTAAGATAATGGTAAGCCACTGCAAATGTAAAACCACAGGCATTATCATTTAAAAATGTTACTTTATTCTTTAAAAATAAAGTATTTTAAAAACTGGCCATTATCAATATAAGGTGACTATTCAGCTCAATCAGAGCAATGCTAACTGTGGGCGGCCTTGTGTTCTGACAGAACACAGAGATGTTTGCGTGTCAGGTCTAAAATAAGAATTCACTATGAATTCTTTTATTCACCAATAATGAAGTGACTTGTCAGGAAGAAAAAGGAGCTTGGAACTGCTCATTATTTGAGAGTGGGAGACACAGCAGCTCATCTTGGAAGGAATACAAGGGAATCAAGACAAGTGCGGTCCCGTCAGGGGTCTGCTTGGGAGAGGAGCCGAGTATTCCAATGCTCAAGCCAATGCAGGGCATGGTGAGACATGGGCGCCTGAGCCTGGGCTCCATGGCTGACCCCTTTCCTGGCAAGGAGGACTGCCTCCACCAGGCAGGGAGTCCAGGAGCAGACCAGGGTCCGGCATCTGGAGATTGTGGTTCAGACCCCTCTCCCAGAGCAGAGGAATCGGGGTCCCCACACCAACCCCTTGGCAGGAGAAACACTGGCTGCTCCTTCTAGAATCCCCTCAGCCTGTGAGCCACCTTCCAATATTATGACCAGTGACACTCTTGGGCCAACTAATGCTAACAACTGTTTAATATCAAATAAATGAACCGAAACCCCAAACCAAAGGAAAGGACCATCTAAAAAGGTATCCCCACAGTGCTCCCCGCACTGTGGGGCACACTGCAGGGGCCACCCCGCTGCCCAGGGTGCCTTTACTGTTTCTGACTGCAATGGGGAAAAAAATATCTCAGTTTGACCTTTAACAATTACTTATCTGGCCCTGACCTCCTCTCACTCTGTCTCCCTGCCACACTCTCTGCAGCAGCAGAGCGCAGGCTCAGACACTGGGCTGGCAGTAACACGGGCTCTAGTCAAACTCTGTCACGTTTTTTGGTTTCTTTCTATCAATGGCAAGTAATACTGGGTTTTCATTTAGGGGACTGATAGAAAGTTTCCTTTCAAAATAAACATGTTTTTAAAAAATGTGCAGGCTTATAGAAAAATATTAACTTAATAGTAGTACACATATTATAGATGTGGCAAAAACCATGGTATAAAGCCTGGGAAATGCAGCCTTACCTTATTCTCTGAACCCTTAATCACTCTAGTGAATTTCTTCTCCCTCCTGCACAACCTGAATGGCATTTTTTCTTGTCTACTAACTTTTAAAAGCAAGCAGTTAAGTGAGAACAACAAAACACAACATACTCTTCTGCCTGGATAGAGTCAACTGGAGCCACATAATTGCTGGGAATGTAACCGGTCTCTCCGGTGGTCAAGGAGCGGGCTTCCCACCAGTCTCCTTCCCTGCAGAGAGAAAGAGAAACAGAGTGAACACGCCAGCCTTCCACACCCTCCAGTCACCAGCTCCGCACGGCGAGAGTGTGGCCGCTCCACCTCCCAACTCCTCCCGATCCCAACTCAGCCCTCTGTGAGGCTACAGTCGGAATCAACTGCGAGTCTCTCATTTCTTGCCATCTGTGAGTTACGAATGCAGGACCTTGCCCTGGGGGAGGGGGACATTTTGCTTCATGAGTGTCCCCAGCTTGGGGTGGAAGGGAACCCAGCCCCAGGCTACTTAAGAAAAACATTGTAACAACATGTGTTAAGGAACCTTATTGTGGCAGTTCACAATACATATGAGTACCGACTGATCATACTGTACACGTGAACATACAGTGTTGAATGCCAATTCCATCTCAATACAGCTGAACCCCCTTCCACCCACTCAACAGCGGGAGTTTAGCTGACAGTGTCTATTCTATTCCCCATCCTGTGACCACTGGCACCCTTTGGTTCGGCTGGAGAGGTGCAAGCTGTTGGCTTTGGTGCTATTTTACCAGCCATTAGGATTCATCAAGAAAAGAGAACATTACAACTGCAGATTATCTGAGAAAGGAGTCTGTTAGGAGGCCCACCCAGTGAGGGATGAAAACATGCTCTTAACACCGCCTTGTGTGTGCTCAAGAAGGTTGGTAGAATAATGGCTCAGCCTTACTCAGATATTTCAACCTGGGGTTATTTCATCATGTGTTTACAGCACCGGTCTGGTCTAGTGGGTGGAGAGGAAGGTGGGCATAGCAGTGCGGGGAGAACAAGCTGTTGGAGACGGGGTTCTCATCGCCACCCTCAGAGAGCCCCATGTTCTGTGCCATGGCTGTCCCAGTCTGTGGAGCTCTCAGAGCTGGGGGCAAGAAGGGTGGGAAAGGGGGCTATAACAACACTCTCAGCTTCAAACAGACAAGTAAACAAAATGTTCATAAGCCTGGACTACCACGGCTGCGAGTAGACAGACAGGAGGGATGGAGTGCCTCTCCCTACGACAGCGGTCAGCAGGCGTGGGCTGTGGCTCGACATCCACGTGTCTACAGAGCCTGCCCCCAGCCCACTGTCAGAAGCATGGCGGGCTGGGGAGGGCACAACTGCCCTTGAGCCAATCACAAGCCCTGGACTTCTGGTCCCCAGAGCTTAGTTACCTGTCTGCTGGGCAAGGCCCTCCCTTTTCTGGTCCCTGGAGGCAGCAAGAGAAACCCAGGCTCTTCTCTTTTTTACATCACCTTGTGGCTGGGCTCTGCGTCAAAGCCCTTCACCAGGGAAGAAAATGTGCTGGCTTTGGCCCAGGCCAAGATCTACCCGACTGATTTATTTAGGCAGAGAATAACGAGGCCCCCATTCTCCGAGGACCACCTCTCAGGGAGCGGTGGCCAGAGAGCACGGAGCCCAGACAGGACCTCACGGAGTGGCAGCCCACGTCTGCCAGGTGCGCTTGTGGGGAAGTGTTGGGTGGCACAAGCAACGGAACAGCCCACAAGAACACAGGGGGCGGGCAAAAATTTTCAAAGACTTACATTTTAATTAGTTTTTCAGTCTTTCCCTTTCAGCTTATGAACCAAATTTAAACAGATAAGCAGATCAAGAGGGAGACAGCTTTCTTACATCCAACAAGTGCCTTATTGATAAACTTAAACTTGGTTCATGTCTAGCTTTTCATCATGACATGATTGACACAAACCAAAGAATATATGCAGAGTGGACACCTGTGAAGCCACCACCCGACGTAGGAACTTGATGGTCACCAATCTGCTCTGCTGACTGCATCCCTGCCTTTCTTCAAATCGTGCAATTAAAAATGTTAACATTTTAACAGTTTGTATTGCTTTCACTTCTGTCCTCACAAAGAAGTACATGCCGCGGTATGTTATTTCAGAGCACATGTGTAAGTTAATGTTTTCTGTAAAGGTCACATGTGCTTAAGGAAATGGCTTTGGAGACAGCGCTTTAATAAAGTGACAAGTTCTTCTGCTCTGAAATTCCACTAGATGGAGACATTTCATCATAAGATACCCACCCTCTCCCCACCTCCTTTGTGCAGTTGGCCTTCCTTTCTCTCTCCCACACATACATACACACACCCCTGCCTGAGCCCCCCAAAGTGGAAAATGCTCCAAAACAGTGGGGAAATAATTAAGTGCTTACACCAGATTCTTATTTTTTATTGCAAGATACTTTCACGGTTTGTTTTGATTTGAATTAAGAAAAAGACAGTACCAGTTTGGGGTACTAGGAAGTGTCGTTTGTGGCAGGGAGTGGATGCGTTTCGCTGCAGGTTGGGACAAGCCCAGTCTGGCGTTTCAGATCCAGCACTAACAGTCCCATTTTGGTCTCGGCACCTTAGGACAGATCAGAACCCAGCTATCAGCTCATTCTAAAGTCATGAATCATAAATTCATGATTTTCTCTAAAGTGACTATTAATCTCATAATAATTTTCAGTTACTCATTAAAAGATAAAATCCCTCTCCCTTTTTCTAGGCTATCTAGGGTCACTTTCTCCATCAAAGGGGACAAGGTGACAAGGGCACGACGTATCAGGCAGTAAACCTCATATGCTGTATCCAGAGAGGCTGGTACAGACTCAAAACATCAAAGTAGTTTTTTGAACAAATGACTACGTCATCTTTTTGATACTCTAGAAGCCCAATTTACCTGCAAATAAATGATATACTCTTTATGAATCAGCCACCTGGATTGAGGAAAATAGGGTCTTCACTATGCTATTTTTATTTCTTTATTGAGTTATTGGGGGTAGTTGGTATTATTAAAGCTGTATTTCTTTAAACTGTTCTTATAGTTCAAATATTTCATTAGTTCTAGAGTTGGTAAGATTTTTCTTTAACTGTTACCTTGCTCTGACTGAAATATGTGATTTAACCCCCGCTCTGGTTTTGAAAAGCTTTTCAGTTTCCATCACAGCTCCTCTAATTTAAGGACTTACTACAACAGCTGGTTCCCAGTCCCCAGATCGCTCCCAGGGCTTGTGGGCCCAGGAGCCGGGAGCTGGGAGGGCACTTGCCAACATGCCAGCCTTGACCTGGGCCGTGGAGCTTTATTATAAATGCTGGGGTCTTTCTGAGTTCGGCCGTGCTCCCCTCCCCTCCAGAGAGCATATCTGCAACAATTCCATCAAATGCTTGGCTAGGACTCCGCATCAGGATTTATTATGATAAAAAGAACTTTGCAGGAGTGGCTACTGCAGGCAAGGACCTCTGTGTGGAATGTTCATTATTCTTCAATGAGCCACTGTTTCTAGGTGGTAAATCACCAGTCATGAAATGTGAAAACAGGGGAAAAAACAATGAATTTAATATTTTGGAAAATGGCCCAAGTTTAATAAAGTCCAAATACAACTACACTGAGCCTTTCAGAGATGAGTGGAGGTGCCACCCCTGCGCAGGGCAGCAGTGCCACTGGCTCTGGGCACTCACTCACACGCTCATCACATGGTCCCTGCCCCCCTTTAAAACACAAAAGCCGGCACGGTGGCCTCCCATTTCTGCCTCTGGACAAGGAAAGGAGAAGGGACACACACAGGGATGTATGGCAGCTGCCCCGGGGAGGGGAGGGGCGGGGAGGAGGGGAAGACGCCGCCTTTCATCTGCTTCCAAATGGCTGCTTTGTCCTTAGCAATTTCCTCTTCCTTGTCACTACCCTTGACTTGAAGATATTGTCTTTGTTACAAGAACCTTATTTTTTCCTCATAACCTTGAAAAAGGGCATTTAAATGGAATGTAGGATGAAGAATTCTACTGGCAAGAAGGAAGAACACTAAAGGGAAAAACCTTTGTCATATTTTCTTGTGGGCAGAGGCTCAAAGCCTTCTGTAAACGTTAAAGGCCATGCACGCGTACCGAGCATACACTGAGGTAGACTCGATCTTCGTGAATGTTTCTCCAAAATTTTAATTGGATGCCATTGGAGACCTTACCCAGATTAACAAAGGAGGGAGTCACAAATTTAGCTTTGGCAATAATTGGCTTCACAGGGCCTTACAACCTGATGCCAGGCCTACTGCAGTGTGGAGAAAGGCTGTGGAATGGCTCTGTGTGGTATCTTGCCTCTTGACGTTGGTTAGAAGTTCTGACCAACCTTGGCACTGAGGGAGCATTACGTAAAATGGGGGGCATTTCCAAATTCAGTTAATAGACATTCACCTGAGAATTGAAGTAACATTATGAAATAACGAGCCAGGTTGAGTCCACAGATGAATCCCCTCCTCCCCCACCTCCCAGCCAACTTGCCAAACCTTGACCTCCCTGTAATGTGAGGTCCCCTCTGGTAGGGTCTCTGGGCCTTTCCAGGACCAAACCTGACCGCACAGGACACTGTCACGGCACCTCACACTCTCTACCACCCGTGAGCCCCTCTGCATCTGTGCAGCTCCACAACCTGAACCTCTGCCACCTCGTATGTCAAATGGTGACCACGACACACACCTCAGACAGCCGCTGTGGATGAATGAGAACATGTGCAGCTTAGCACATGGCTGCATGTTAAGGCCTCTTCCATAAATGGCAGCTGTTTACTACTTAGAAAAGAATTCCTGTGGCTGCAGGAGAGCTCCTGGTGGGGGGTTTGGGGGCGGCAGGGAATGTTCCCGGTCTGGGTCGGAAACAGGCACATTCAGTTTGTGTAAATTCAGCAAACTGTACACTTCAGGACAGCGGTGGTAAAATGTATGTTAACAATCTGTGTGTGTATAGCAGAGCGGCATCCAGCACATTTGCCCTGAGCTGTGACCCCCATATACACGCTTGGTACAGGCACTTCTCCACATGTATTTAAAAAAAGAGTTTCAAAAAGCCCACCCACACCCGCTAATGATGACAACAGCAATGATAACCAAAGAATAACAACCCTGTGGCCACTCTGTGGACAGCGTCTCCTGACACCCAGAGGAGCCTCTGGCCTCTTTTGGAGGAGCTGGGTCTTGCCGTTGTAAGGAGCTCACTCTCAGGGCACAGGCTTCCCAGGGACAGTTCTCATGGCCGAAGGAGTTCCCTGTTCACCGGCACCTGCGTTCCTGGGACACGGGCACGCAGGGCCGTCTCTCCCACTCCTCCCTGCACTCTCGGGGAAGCTAGAGAGGAGGCCGCAGGAGCCCAGTTTGCTCAGGGAATGGGGGGCACAGCAACCGGACCCGGCAGCACAGGAGAGCATTCGCGGGGGTTCTTTCCTGGCGCTGGGGAGCGCTCGCAGGGAGAGCCTGAGGCGCCAGGGAGAAGGCCTGACCTGTGGCCGGGGGACACCGGTTTCTGTGGGGCCTGGGACAGAGGGCATGCTGCCCCAACCTAATAGATGCAATATTTAAAACTCAGGGAGAACACATCTCCTTGTCTATGATGGTACATATGAGCCCCTATTTACTTCTCATAAAGGAGGTGTTAAAGTGGGATTTGAAAAGTGAGTGGTTCTTGCCCTTGAAATTTCCCCATTGCTTGTTTAGCTGTTGTTCCTACTGGACACACTTAAAATGCAGCCTTGTAGTCATTCACAAGTGGGCAAAATCACTTCTCTTCCATTTCACAAAGATTTCAGTCACTCTCAAATTTTCATGATGGGGAAACACCCCCACGTGCCTCACCAACCGGAATGTTCAGTGGTTGTGAAAACAGAAGGAGCTTGTTGCCAGCCTTGAGTGAGGGCTCAGCTGGTGCAGCACGTGAACTGTGAGGACAGCTCAAGGCAGAGAGAGGGCGACATGCAAGCCTGTGCCAGGTGTGGGCCTGCAGGTACGTGATGATGCGTTGCTCTCTGGGCCTCCGACAGGCGTCAGCTGCAGCTCGGACCCTGCGAGAGCTCCACGGATGGACGGCGCCATGAAGCACCTCTCTGGGTCATCAGCTCTTTGTTTCTCAAGCTTATTTGCTATGAATTCATGAATTTACCAAGTGTTCTCTTAGCGTTTAGTTATATGAAAAGGCACAGACTAATGACACAAGAATTCTTTTCCAATCCGAAAAGCATGCTTTCCCCTCCTCCCCACAAACTTACGAGCTGTTCAATATTTGAAATTTTTCTCCTTTGTGAAAACTCAGGTCATCTTCTGTCCGTGCTTCATAATCATAAAGGGCCACAAACAGGGTCACTCCTGACAAAAGGAAATCAAAAGAGAGATTATTACGCAAGGGGATACTAATTCCCAGAAATCAAATCTTTGGTAAAGCCTCATTTGCAAAATCTACATCTAACCAGCACTGAGAACATGATGCAGTGAAGGAACATCACATGTGAGGTCAGCGTCACAGGGCTGAACTCAAGGAACTGAAGGACTCTGCACTGTACACCTCTGAACGCGTTCCGGGACGTGACAGGCAGTAATATCATGGCCACAGCTCAAGGGGTGGGAGTGATGGTGCAGCTCAGATCTGAAGTCTGAGTGATGACAGACTCCTGTATCCCGCACACATTCTCCTCCACTCAGGAGCCTTGGGCAGCTCCAGGTAAAATGGATCACTCTTGCCTGTGGCATAACAGTGATGCAGAATGTAGCAGGAAACTCCTGCAGCCTGGGGACTGAGAAGACCCTCTCCATAAACGTCCACCGAAGTTGGAGATGTCTTGCCTTTGGCATCAGCAATTGCTTTGTGGCCTCCTAGGTCTTGCTCTCCTTCTACCGTAAAGTCACTCATCTCTGCACAGGTTCATAGTCCTCAGGTCTCCTTATACCTGCCCTAAGTCTGCCCCTCTGGCTGCCCCCAGCAGAAGCCTTCCTGCTTTGCAGAAGTTTGCTATCAACAGCAAAGAATGTCCAGTGTCCCATTTGGCCCAGGACTTCCCCATACAGCAGGGAGGATTCTAAGATGGCTGTCAAGGATACCCACCTCCTGGTATTCGTGCCCTTGTGCAATCATTTTCCCTGGAGTGAGTGACCCTAGTCATGTGCCTCTGACCAACAGAACGTGGCAAAAGGGATGGACATTCCACAAGTGACTAGGCTTCAAAAGAGCGTGGCTTCTGTCTTCCTAGCTGACTCTACTGCCACTTGGCTTGAACACTGATGAACAAGCTGCCATGCTGGAGGGGCCCACATGACAAAGAACTGAGGGTGGCTTCTGGCCAGCAGCCAACACGGGGCTGAGTCCTGCCAATGCCACATGAGCTTGGCAGCAGGTCTTCTCAACTGCACCACGAGACAGCTTAACCCAGCCAACATGCCTAGACTGCGGCCTGTGAGATTCTGGATGGAGGGCCCAGCTAAGTAATGCCGGGTCCCTGATGTGTGCGAACTGCGAGATGATACATGTATGGTCTTCAAGGCGCTAAGTTCTGTGACGACCTGTAATGCAGAGATGGGCAACTAGTGCCCCTCTGCCTCCGCTCTCCGGCTTCTCCCTTTGATCCCCACACACTTCCGAGTGCCTGATGTGGCCTGAAAAGCACATGACATGGCTTTGCCCTTTGCCCTGTTGCCACTATGCTGTGTCGGTAGTTCCGAGGGGCAGGTGCGCCTATGGGGTTGGTCAGGAGCCAGAGGGGGAGGTGGGGTCCTGCCCCAGGGCTCCGGTAGGAGAGCTGACCTGGAGGCCTGACCACACGGAACTCACTGGGCAACCTCTTTAGAAATCAGGAAATAGACTGGCTCATAGCAAAGCGCAGGAGCTGGTGAGGTCATGCCGTTCTTGTTAACACTCTGTCGGAAGATTCCCTTCAGGACAGGTTCTCTAGTGACTTTTATGAGTGACGCCTGCAGACCCAGAGATTCGCACCCAGATTCACGAAGGAACGAGGGCGGGGCCTGTGGGAGCAGAATCCAGAGTTGGCTGACCGAGTGCTCACCAGGCACAGGGAGTGTGCTGGGTGCATTCCCGGCTCCTTTTCTCTCCTGTACTCACAAAGACAGGCTTCCCCAGACGGTCTGGCCACCTGTTTCCTCTCTCCCTCCATTCCAGGTGCTTTCAGGAAGTGGGAAGGATGAGGGACTGTGACCCACACAAGGCCTGCTTCCCAGGGAAAGCCAGGCCACCACAGCACAATGATGTGGCGGCCAAAGCTCTGGGTCACGCCCCCTTGAAACAGCTATGCTGTCCTACTGCATGAGGGGTGTGGGGGGAAACTCCTGCCGATGCCTTGCGCACCCACTGCCCAGGTAAAAGGACACGATGGATCCAGATGAGCTGAGACGATAATAGCTGATGTATATGCATTTAAACTTTTGTAATAAACAAAACATTTTGGAACATGTAATGTCAAATAACTTTGTTACCATGATTCACATACTGGGAGAAGATTTGGAAGACTAAAGATGCATGAGATAACTTACAAATATTTCAGAAAACATATGTCTGAGAATGTATGCCAGATATTTTACAAAGCATTAGCTAAGTCAGCAAAAGCTCATGGCAGTAAAACATAGCCTTGTGGTGGGGAAGAGAAGAAAAGTTAAAAAAAAAAAAGAGAAGGATTCCCTTAAGGATACAAAAAATTTGATTTTAAAATACAAAAGATACGTGAAAATATTTGAGGACTGGTAAGTTTTGTCATATGGAAGATGATGGGAGATCAGAGACAGAAACAATGAAGACGAATGGCCATAAAATAATGTCGCTAAATGATCCCCCGGCTGGGAAGTGACGGGCGGGCATGAAATCAGGGAGACGAGGGAGAAGTGCTTCCTCTGTCAGGTGGCCCTGGACGGGGGGCGGGAGGGAGGAGGGCACGCCTGTCTGGAGAACTCCAGGTGGCACCCTCAGACACAGCCCCAAAGCCTCTGGCCCACAAGGGTGTGGAGGGGCCGAGGTATCTGCATCTTGGAAAAGCTGCCCTGGTGGTTCTGGGTCGTCTCAGTCGGCTGAGAGCCATGCGCCCGAAGTACCTGAGTCCTGTGTCTCATGACCCCAAAGGACGCTCGCAGCAGCTACTTCGGGGCCCCAAGCCACTGCAGCCAGTGTCCCGGCTGCGTGCGAGGCCCGGGTCTCTGCAGCCTCCACTGGGTCGAGGGCAGGCGGGCAGCGGGAAGAACTCAGATCCCCACCAGGGCGAGCTGCCTGAGGCACTGTGTCTAGTGGCCGGAAGAATCAAGAGAGCCTGACTCTTACCTGTCCCTCCTCTCGTGCGCAAGGTCCCAGTGTGAGACGAGGAGTTCACACCCCCAAACACAGTGAGTCCTTGGCCCCCGGCTGCGTGGAAGTTGTTGTAGTTTGGGATGGAGGTCACGCCGAAGCTGGGGTAGTGCTGAGGTGTGGGGTCTGTGCCATAGCGGTACCCGGAGCTCTGGTTCAGGCTGCCGTCCCTCTCCTCCGTCAGTTTCGTTGCTTCTTTATCCTTACATTGCACACAGCCCATTATCTAAATTCCTGCCGGAAACCAAAAGGAGGCACGTGAGCTGGAATGTTCCTGACTGCTGGGCTGCCTGTTAGACAGGAATTGCTCACAAGGTTTGCCGTTGGCCACCACGGGCCCATCGGGGCACGAAGAGCAGCAGCAGCTAGGCTGGTGGCCAAAAGCTCCCTCGGTGCCCACGGCTCGACCACCACTTGTCCCCAGGTGTTCCGGGTGCCCAGGGCTGCACAGTCTGCTCACCATTCAGCAGTTTTCCCCGAGGAGGAACGTCCCCCTTAGTCCGTGTCACGGCCGCCTAAAGACCGCTCAGTACTGCCTGCGATGTTTTCCTTCTGTCCTCTCTGGGAGTCAGGTGCGCCCTGGAAAGTGAGTCTGCACAGCCGGGTAACCCCATCAGGGCAACAGAAGCCAAGGGGCGGCGCCCTGGGAGAGCCACAGCCCGCCCACGGCTCTCGGACCCCTTCACCTCCAGGTCTGCGCGCACTCTCGGCACATTCTGAGCAGCAAGATGATGGTAAGAATCCAAATTAAATAGTTGCTGCATCAGAAATAAAACTGGCGGAAACTACGAAGTCCAAAGATATTCACAGGCTGTCATGACAGCCGACGGTAACCAAATCACTTGAAGCTGCTAATTCACATTGCAAATTTCCATTTGCTTTTGACATCTTTCAAAAACATTAAAAAAAATCATTCTCATGTCCTAGAGTTAGTGATGGATCAAAAACTCAACTCGCTGTCACCCCCAGACCCACCTTTCCTGTGCTCATCTCAGTAAATGGCACACTCAGTGACCCACCTGCTCCAGCCAGAATTCGCAGAAGTGACCCTATTTGCTTTTCCCTGTTCACTTCTCACTCTACTGTGCAAACATGCTGAACGTGATTCCTCAAAGGCTCCATTTTCATGGTCTCCTGCAGGCCTTGGGACATGGCCTTGAACACTCTCTCCCTGCTCTTTGACATGCGACACATCCTTCACCTCCCAGGTCAGACACACGCTGAGAAGCAGCCCATTTGGGACCAACGAACCAAAGACGGGACACATGACGTCTCACATAACTACACGAGCTCACCGGGGGCACGTGCACAGCTGGCCCAGGACAGGGAGGCACCTGCAGGGGCAGGCGATGCAGCAGCTAGTGTTCCTGCAGAGCCCGGTGTGCAGGCTCTCTGGGGCACTGCTCTGAGCACTGCTTTTCTGCTGAATGGGGTCACAGAAGCAAAAACCCTCTCACATTACATGTTCTAATAAATACTTGCGGAACCGAGTATCAGTTCCTTAGAATGGAAATGTTTGGAAATGAGCCACCTACTGCTTGAGCTGAGATCACCAAATCTGGAACACATTTACGCGTAAATCATTCAAGATTAATTTACAGTACACTGCGTCCAACATGCTTTCTAACTTACGGTAAATGAATATGATTTTAACAAGTTTCCAATAGGAAACGCAAAACATCTCCAAGCCATGATTTAATGAGGGGATTTCATCATTTGTTGTTGACATTGCTTTGTAAGACTGATAAAATACCCTCTTCTCTGGACATTAACTCTCCTCTGGCAGGAGCTGCTCATAAAGGTCCCACAAAGGCCAAGACCCATCTTGGCCCAGGGGCTTTTTCAGGGATTTCACTAAACTTCTGTAATTAGCAGGATCTCAGGGTCACATCATTTACACCAGTGGCTCTCAGCTGGGGGTGACGCTGCTCCCCAACAAGGGACATATTAGGCAATGTCTGGAGACATTTCTGCTGCCACAACTTGGGGGTTTGGGGCACTACTGGAAGCTAATGGGCAGAGGCCAAGGATGCTGCTAAGCATCCTATAATGAACAGAACAGCCTCCGACAACAGAGTCACCTGCTCCAAAGGATAACAGTGTCAAGGTCGAGAAATCCTGATTGTAGAGAGGAAAGGATTTGTATCTGTATCTTTGAAACATAACAGCTGTTTCCTTTATATGCACGCGATCAACATCAGTTGAGAGTGCCTTCTTTAGGGGAGCAGGCATGCTAGGCAGAGGAGACAATCTGAAAATTGACATGAGATGCTCTGATTTTTCTCTAGGAGCTTATTCCTTGTGACAGAGAAAAGAACCTAAAACCAGCGAGAACTCTCATTATAAACTACTTACCCAACTCCAGAAAAGCCAAACCAAACCCTACATCAGAACTCTGCTGAGAACAGGATCCTACTTTCAACTAAACTCAGAGAAGTCCAACCTTTCACAACCCACTAAAACGCATCATCACCATGAGAAAGAACTAACAGCGAGGCTTCTATGCAGTAAAGGAAGGGGGCAAACAGCAAGCTCCTTGGGGCAGGGGCTTGTCCTGGTTTTGTTTCATTATTGTATCCTGTGTTCAGAGAAGTGCCTGGCACACATGAGCTCAGTAAGTACTTGTTAAATGATTAAACAACAAGAAAAACCAACAACTCGAAGACATTTTGGAGAAAACAACTCTTTTATAGAAACAACTCATTACCACCTCATGCATTTGCAACATGAAGAAAGGAATGTTTCTTGCTTACTCTCTTCCTTTCATTGACAAACAGGAAGAGACCAAGATCAATCAGTAAATGCAGGCTCAAGCCATTAAAAGTACCACAGTGAAAATATTTGCTTAAGGCCCTGTGGGCTTCCTCCTTTCACTTGGCATTTCCTGATGGGAGAGTCAGGAGATGCTACATGAGTTGTATTCCAAGTGACTTCGGGCTCTTTGCCACCAGGCAAACTTCTGAGTCTTTGAGTTACAATAAAAATACCTTTTATTATGTAAAGTGCTGTGGCAGTGGCTCTTATGGCCGTGCTGTGGGTATGAACACGTAATGCACTAATATGCCTGCTCTCTGGGAGACACTGAGTAATGCCACTGTGCAGTGGGGCCCTGGAGCTCCTCTGATCTATTCACCACGAGCTCAAGACCACAGTTCTCCGTGTGTTGCAATACCTAGAAGAACTGACAGACAAGCACTTTGACCTGTGCCTGTGGTCAAGTGTCTGCATTGTTGCTGTGGAGCACCCTATTCTCCAATCCTGCAAATTGAGGGGCTCTGGTCCCACTATGCAAGGAAACTTGGTTCACCTAAAGTTGCCTTGGTCGCGTGCATCTTTTCTTATGTGCTGAGTATCAAGCCACGCGGGCTGCAGCTGCCGCCAAAGAACCAAGGATGCCACACCTGGCCCCCACGAGTGTGGCTGATGCCATCAAATGGCCTCTGTGCTTCCCTGCTGTGCTGCGTGCGACCTCAGAATCCTTGGCAAAGCCCTCGAGTGACTGAAGGTAGCTGACATAAGGGGTGGAATCCACCCACCTCTCTGGGCGTAGGCTGCTTTGATCCCACGTGAGTCTGGTTGAAGGTACACCCCCTTCCACTGATGCCAGAGACCATGTCAGGTCTGCTCGATACACACTGAACCCGCTCTCATTTCTTCCTATGCTCACTGGTAAAGCAGCGCCGTGTGCTCCGGTCACAACGTGCAAGAGCTAGGTATCAAGAAGGGAAACGGGCACGGCAGTCTTCTGCAAGAGACCACCTTCTCTCAAGACACCCAAGTTTGTGGCAGAGGAGGGGAGGCAGGAGGAAGACAGGAGGCCTTTAGTTTGGCAGTTGTGAGCACTGTTCCTTAGAAAGCATCCCAGGCGGATGTGGAGAAGTGGGAGCCCATAGGAGTAAGTCACCACCCCTGCTCAACAGCCTGGACTTCACATAGTGACAGCCACTCTGGTCTGTGCTCTGACATGGAGCGTTTCCTGGCACCACCATTCAGGGCCCTTTGCTGCCCCCCACTGTCCCTGGGTGGGGATCATCATAAAGGAAAATAACCAGGAAGGGAGCCTAGACACCAAGCACAAGGAGCTGAGTGGGGCAGCTGGCTCCAAGTTTCACACACTTCTCTGGGAGAAAAGCAAAAACTGGTAGCTTGACAAACAAACACCCCTTTTCAGTCAAGAGTAATGACACGAGGCAGAAGGATAAGATGTGGCAGACACGCCAGCAATGACCGTATGCTGGGTGGAGGATCCGTGACGGGGCTCCTAATCCTTGCAAAACTGGAAACACCCACAAGCATCAACTTGGGACGTTTTGCAACATTCTCAGTGGAGACAGCGAATCTCTCAGAGGTCTAGGGAAGCCTTGCCTTTGTCTCACCATGTAGCTGAGAGGGATGCTCAGAGGCAGACACGTGCCACAGCGGCAGCCGTGGGAATCGGCCACAGAACACGCCCCCAGATTTCCTGGCACTTTCAACCCTTTATGACAGGGCTTTCCTCTTTGTGGACCACTGGGTCCTGACACCCATGAGTGGGGGAGGGCAGTGCTGTCTCCCAGGGAGGCCGAGGTGGTGAGGACCAAGCTGGGCACTCTTGGAGGCACAAACACTCCCCAAGGTCCTGAAGCAGGGAAAGGCCACAGCTCTTCCCCAGCACCCAGACGGCACACTGGAGACGTCCAGGATTGAGGCCTGAACCCCATACAGCATTGGTTCTGGGCCCAGCCAGTAGCCCCAGACCACCTGTAAGAAAGGAACACAAAGGACTGTGCCAAAGAGGGGAAATCCTCCTGGCTGCCAACTGGGGGCAGGAGCAGAGTGCAAGCCTTGCTCAGAGTGGTGCGGCGGGCAGGACTCAGGCGAGCCCAAGATTCCTGTCCACAGGGTTTGAGTCCTGTATGGCCCCTGGGGTTGGAATGATGGCATAATCACTTCTATCCTAGGCTACTTATTTATTTGGCACATCTGACTTTCAACAATGGGTTAAAAGTCCTAGGTGGGCCTGACCTTATCAGGTGAGCCTTTGAAAGGGACAGGGCTCTTTCTTGAGAGGCAATGCAACTTGAGAGGCAGTCCCCAAGGTACAGCCCCCACTGCTGGTGCAGATGGAGGGGCTATGTGGCCAGGAACGTGGGTGGCCTCTCAGAACTGAGAACAGACCTCAGCTGGCAGAGAGCAAAGAAACGGAGACCTCAGTTCTACAACCACAAGGACCTGAACTGGGTCAGGAACTGAAG